CCCCCCCCCCCCCCCCCCCACACACACTCCTCGCATGCCCCTGCTGCTTTAGGTCACCTCATCGAAGGAATCGAGTTGCTGGCGAACCAGGCCCTTCTCGCTGAAGTACGCGCTGATCACGACCCACGCATCCTCCTGTGATATGTCCTCCTCAAGCGGATCGAGCTCGTCTTCGTCATCCACGAGGCCTCCGGCCCCGTACGCGGCATCGGGATCGTACTCCTCCTCCTCCACCCCTTCGCCAAGCCCTAACCCCTCGCCCCCACCTCCTCCCGCTGCGCCGTTCTCGTAGCCTCTCTCGTCCTCGTCCTCCTCCTCCTCCTCGTCCATGTTGTCGTAGCCCCCGCCCCCCGCTGCCCCGCCTCCATCGGCGTAGTCGTCCTCCCCGACGCCCGCTTCGCCCTCCGGCACGGCATCGCCGAACACGTCATCGCCTTCGTCCTCGTACGACATGCTTATCGCCCGCCAACCCCCGCCGCCGCCACGTTGTTCGCTCTCACTGGTCGAGCCTTATGGTGTGGAACTCCCTTTCAAAGGCGGTAGCGCGACCCGGTGTTGTGAGTAGGACGGACCCCGCGCGAGTCCTGGCGTGCTGGCGCTTGGCAAAACCAGCACGTGTTACGCTGTCTTCGCTCCCGCGAGGAGAGGGTGCTAGCCGTTGCACATGCAGTCACGGCAGGCAGGTGGGGCTAGCGACACGAATAGTCGGCACGACCTGAGGCCCGTGAGAGTGAACGGACTGCAAGGGCCGGGTGGGGGTCAGGGGGCGCCGGGGGGGTGTAGTGGTTTAGATGAAATACTAGCCGGAGTGTGGAAACATGCCGGTCTGCATCACTAAACAAAGTTCGCGATATCGCGTGCCACGCATCGAAAGCGCGCACCGTCAGAGCGCGGGGTACAGACAGGGCGAGGCCCACACAAGGCCGCCGGGTTGGGCCCACGGGGGCAATCAAGCACACAGAGGGAGCGATACGATCCGCATCATATCTTTGTTTCGCACAAACATCCATGTTTTTCAAATAACGCTTCCGCTGAGACATCCCACTGATTCCTAACCCCTCTGAATTTGAACTACCGTTCCACGATTTTTCTAGGCAACTTTACTTTTGAAGGCACCCTCTTGGAACAGCCGTGCTACTGCTGTACGGACGGTGCTGCCCTCAGTTCAAACATGAACGTCGCGGCGTACACGCAGACACTCCGCGGCAGCATGAAATTGTGGTATGATTTGCTGCTGTCTGAAATAAATATACAACTCTCTCTCCAAGCTTGCTTACGCATGCACGGGTTTGTATCGGGTTGGCCTCATGGTATCACGAGTCCATCCGCCCTGCTGTATCGATCGCTCAGACCGGATCGCTCAGTGAAGCACTACCAAGCGCGATCCCCCTCCCTGCGAATTTTGAGAAGAAGCGCGCTCAAGAAAAGCCAAGACATTCAACATACCCACACAGAGAGGAGGAGCAGTGGAACTTGTCAACGAAATTTCGCCACGATCTAGCACACCAAAAAAGGCAACCAGTCGGCAGTGCTCTAAGCAGGCGCTTGTTTGCACGTGGACGCGACCAGCTCCAGAGCTATGCTGTACTGATGGTTACCTGTGAGTGTGTCCTCGTCCCCAATGGCGTTCCCTCCAAAACCCACAAGCACCGCCTTCTCTGTCCCAATCGCACAGTGGTATTGCGGTCTGGTGGTTCAACCCAGCACTATCCACGCAAGCTTTCTGCCACCGAGAAGGTTGAATCCCCAGGCACCACTTGGGGAGGTGATTCTTCTTTGAATGTGGTGGAGCGGCGATTTACGAAGGCCTCTAAGGGGCTCCGTAGAATACTTTGGGATATTTCCATAGTACCTGCTATTCGAACAGCTGCGTGCCGTGTGCAGATTCGAATTCCGCCGCATGTGAGATGCAGTGTAATCTGAGCGCCCACCACTCAGCACACATATCAACTACCAGCTACACCAAGGTGCTGCTATCGTTGGGCAGCCACGTATACAAGGAATTATGACCTCTCTTCGTGTTTCGGTGTTGAATCAATCGTAGTTTGCCGTAAGGTTCGAAAGGATACACAAATGGAGCGTCAGGATTGCAGGATTTTGTGTGTCGCGAACGAACGAATCATGAAAGAGGAGAGAGAGTTCAAGTTTAGTTCGTGCGGCACCCAACGTCTGAGCGGTAGATCTGAACGCCCTCGCCTCCGTTCCAACTTACTGTTGTTCCTACGGCCGTGCAGGATGTCGGAGCTGCCGTTGTTGTCCGGGGACTCTCCTACGCCAGCTCCGGCACCTACGCCTTGTCCTGCGTCTTCGATGGTTTGCTACGCCATCCGCCTGCCGCCAGGGGAGGAGCTAAAGGGGGTCTTGGCAGAGTTTACGTCACAAAAAGAAATTCGGGTGAGACGGCGGCGCTTGGATTTTTCGTGCTGCTGGTGCTCGGCTGCAATGACTGCATGCGCTTGAACGTTTGCGAAAATGATGGGCCTAGCATATTGCAGTTCGAACGGGTGTGGGGAATTCGCGTGAGGAGCATCCGTCCTCTTTTGCTGCGGTGCGACGGCGGTAGCGTACTGCATTCAAAACTCTGTGTTGTGTTGGAACATGGGACCGTTGGGGAAGATCGGAAGAAAACTCGCAACGCTTACCTCTGCTTTGCGCGCGGGGGGATGCTGCTCTCTCGATCCGCAATGTGGAACTCCCGGATCGACCGTGTATGTGGATGTCAAACCAAGGAGTACACTTTCGTGCCGTCCCGCTTACGCAAGGGCGCGTTCGAGCGTCACGGTGCCCCGTCTACTGTAGTTGACGCAAGATACCCTGGACCGTTTTTGAAAGCTTGAGTACGCCGCGACGAAGAGGACGCATAAACCAAACGAGAGACGTTTCCGGAAAAAATCTCGACGAGGCGGTTCCCACACTGCCATTTTCGGCACCGCCACTCTTCTCTACAGCTGTGGAGCGATAGAGCTTTGAATATCAGTCAAGGGTGTGTGCGTGTGTGTGGTATCTTACGTCACCGTCGGTGTGCGCTCTCCTGCTGTGATCAGCCCATCCAGTGCGTGCTAGTTTGCTCACGCGTGTAAACCTCGCTCTCTCGTTCGACCGAACCAGGCCGGGTTCATCGTGTCGTGCGTGGGGAGCGTACGCGACGTGTCGTTACGCCTCGCCGGAGCGGAGCCCCCGGCGGGCTGCTCACCAAGCTCGTCCTCAGCGGCGGCGGCGGCGGCGGCGGCGGCGATACGTCCTCCAGCTCCGCAAGAAAACATCACGGCGGGGTCGCACTACGACCAGTTGCAGGATTACCACCAACGAGAAGAGGAAGAGCAGCCGATGCTCCGGACGGGCCCGGACGCCCGATTCGAGATCTGCTCTCTTGTCGGCACCCTCTCCCCGGAGGGCCTCCACCTGCACGCTTCTCTCGCGGACGAAAAGGGGGCACTCTGCGGGGGGCATCTCGTCCGGGCGACGGTCCACACCACCGCCGAGATCGTAATCGGCGTGGCTTCTTCGCTGGAGTTTTTCAGGGAGATGGACCCGAGAACCGGGTTCAAGGAGCTCGTGGTTTCGGGGCCGGACACCTCCAGATACGAAAACTTCTTGTGTTGCAACGCGATTCTGGTGATCGCGGTTACGTTGGTGACGTTGGTGCTGGTGGTGGTGCTGGTGGGCGGCAGATCTTCGGTACGATGAAACCAGAGAGGGGCGGCACTTTTTGTACAACGCGTGTGGAGGGGGGCCTTCTTGTGGGTGTGGCGCGGCGAGGGTATTTGAGGAGGCGTGGTTGGTTGTGCACTAGGAGAAAGGACGTGCGGCGGTGTATGGGGTGTCTGTAGTTCGCAGCTGCTAGTGCTGGTGGTCTCGGCGTTCCTCCGCTCGGTGAGACCGGCGTGTGTATAGATTGATTGCTGTGAGCCACGGCTCTCCCTCCCTCAGTAGAGATTATTTTTCTCGACGAGTCGAGCCGTAAGAAGACTTGGTGCCCCTGTGTCGGGGGAGGGTTACGCGCGGTCGCCGCCAAAGAGGCAACGGCCTGATACTACAGTAAATTCTTGTGAGACTAGGATTCTGTCTTTTTTGTTAGTCGGGTCAGGAACTCCAGTTTGCAATTGGGGATTTAGTTAGCAGCATAGCATAGTTTTTTTTTTTTTTAACGGTCATGCGTGGACGAGCAAACATCCAACGAGATCTGGATGCTGGATGTAACGTCCATACCGAGTAGCGTCCAACTTGTACATATCCAAAGGCTGTGCACCGGTGATGGCAGATTGTTCCTTGTGTGACAACAACAAAAAACTCGCCCGCCGGTTTGCCTGCGATGCAGCTTTCTACACCCTGAGCACTACTTTTCCTGCGTACACCACGCCGCTGATGCAAAAGTACTCGTTCCTCCAGAACCCGTTGCGGTCGCCTCGTCCATGTTCTTCAACGTCGTTCGGTCGCTCTGCCGCTCAAAGTGATCCAATCACTAGAGAGTGAAAGCTTAACCCAATTTCGTGCGATACTTCCTGCCACCAACCACTTGTCAACCACCCCTACAACGCTACACTTGGCGCACATCGCGCAGCCGTCCGCCTTTCCCCGCTTTCCAGAAACCCAAGCTCTGCTAATCTCCACGATGGTCCCACCACAACCTTGGAATCACTGACATGCCAATGTCGCAGGGTTCAACAAGGTGACTCATTGGCTGACGCCGCTGTCGTGCACAGATTCATGCGTTGTCACTAGTACAACTGCCAACACTCGCCACGATCTTGGCCTTCTTCCGTCTCCTAGGCTTGGCCGGCTCAAAGTCGTCGCTATCGTTGTCAGAAGAGTATACCGTCCGAAAGGGACCACCGCCTCTACTGCCATCATCTCCACTCCACTCCTCCTCCTCCTCCCCGTCGTCCTCCTCGCTTTCTCCCTCCGCGGCCCACCCCGCCGAGCGCTTCCCGCCCCCCTCCCGGACGGCGACTGCTTCCTCTTCCCCGTCGCTGTCGCAAAGGTCGACTACCCCGGCAGCAGCAACCACACCCGTTGCGCCGCCGCCAGCCGTCGACCTCGCCCGTCTCTTCCCGCTGCTTCCTTGACCCCGACCGCCCCCCGCCCCCGCGGGAATTTTCTTCTGCCGTGCCGCCGCCGCCGCCGCCGCCGCCGCCTTGGAAGGCCTTTCGCTGCTAGCACCGGCGGGGTTCTTCCTCACGGCGCCGGCTGCGCCGGCGACGGCGCTCCCTCGTACCTGAAAGGAAACCTGGGAGAGCCTGCCGCTCTCCAGGGCGTGAGCGCGTGCCCCCGTGACCACGTAGTGGACGACGGAGAACGCCGTGAAATGGAAATCGTCGGACAGCACGCCGTCTCCCTGATAACCAAGCGGGGAGGGGGGGGGGGGGGGGGGGNGGGGGGGGGGGGGGGGGGGGGGGGGGGGGGGGGGGCAGCACCTACACGCCATGAGACGACGCCGATCGACGGGCATCACTGTCCTCGGGATTTTTTTCCCAAGAATGTTTGTCGGGTACCTATCATGAAACTTGCAACGGCGATGACGACGCTCGTTCATTCGGCAACGGATGATTTAAAACCCTTCCCGCACACCACGCACGTCCTACGCCGCTACTGGCACTGCTGCTGCTGCTGCTGCTGCGAGGAGGTAAACGGCGTTCCACACTTAACCGCTAGTCCTACTGTTGCTGCCGCTGCAAGGAGAAAAACGGTGTTCCACACGTAAGAAGCGCATAACAAAAACAAAAAACAAACACACACAGACGACGCTACATACACAGTAGAGGGCAGATATATTGCTACAGCACCTACAGCAAGACGTACCAGGAGCTGCAGCACGAGCCGCTCGCACGCGGACCGAGAAAGAGCCTTCGGCGGCCGGTCGTTCTCCCCGACGACCTCGTCAGGCATTGCCTTCGCACCCTTCTTTGCCCTCCACGCGTCCACCAGCTGCCTCGGGGTCACGCGCTGCTCCTTCAAGGCCAAGTGTCGGAGTATCCTGCTCGGCGGCATGTGGTCGCATTTGGGGGATGCTTGAGGCGGGGGTGGGATCGCAGTAGGGCGGGGAGGGTCATTCAAGTCACGTAGAGGATGTTTTCTCTACCCGGTCCATCCATACGCGTGCCGACCATCACCGATTGTATGTCGCCTGTTGGTACGGTCGCCCGCGAGTACGTTTTTCGGTTCACGGCATGCAACGATACAGCAACAACGCAGCCGCGTGCTCCCAAAAATCCAGGCCAATTACAACATACAGCTACCAGCCATGATCACGACTGCTGCGCCACCATCACAAACAAGACTCCAAAGCGCCCGGGACCGACTACCAACGAGTGGTTTCACCTGACTAGAGTGCAGGCGTGCGCGGTGGCGTCGAGAGTGGCCACGTCGGCGGCCTCGTCGATGCCCCCCGAGCACACGTCGCACCCGCCGCCGCCGCCGCCGCCGCCCGAGCACAGCCCCTTCCCGCCCCGCTCGCCCAGGGCCTCCGCGATCATGGTCCTCCGGCAGGTTGCCATCGTCTGACGACGCGGCGGAGAGGGGGACAGCAAAACACCGGGGCACATAACCCGTGATGTGTATGCATATCATTCCGTAAGGCGGGGGGGGGGG